GTAGACGCGTCGTAGTAATAATAATATATATATATATATATATATGTGTGTGTGTGTGTGTGTGTGTGTGTGTGTGTATATATATATATTATATATATATATATATATATATATAGAGAGAGAGAGAGAGAGAGAGAGAATATAATAAGTACAAATGTAATTTGTTTTCTCTTTTCAGTTTGGTCTGCAGCTTTTCAAGAAAAAATAATAATTACTGGACTTATTATTTTATTTTTTAATGTACAATAAAATACTTTATCATGCATATTAACCTTCTCTTGATGTAGAATATACTGTACAGCACTATAGAAAGGAAGTTTCCTTGTTTTTCATTTATGTACGACTATAATATTGACCACCCATATTCAGGAAACTCCAAAATCCAGCAAGGCTCAGGTCCCAAGGTTGCCAGATTTGTACCATATTCAACTTTATATCTAAAAATGTGAGAAAGGAAGGAAAACAAAATGGATAGAACAACCTAAAAATTATAAGAACGTGTATCTATATTTAGAAAAAAAAGAGCTTTGAGCTAAATTATTTATTTGAAATCAATACCTACTTCTACAAGGACACGTAAAATTACAAATCACAGTTCATCTTAACATTTCCCAGAGAAAAATAAGTGCATATATGAATGTTTATGTATGTACGTACACATACACACACAGACTATCCATCTAATCATATGTTGAACAGGATTTACAACGTCTATAAACACGAACTTCCCTTTTGTAAATGAAGAACAGCTGTAATGATTTTTTTCTCAGTTCCTGTATCTCTGTATGAGATAGAGAAGACTACATAATAGTGTTTGAATAAAGTGACTTAAATGATCTAATTACTTTGATAAATTGTTATATGCTACAGAAAGTGAATAATTATACATTTAAAAAAAAATATGTTTTTTTTATACAAGAAATTAGAAAAACTAGCTTAAACACCAAATTATTTGTAATTATTGTACTTGGACCTTTTAAGTTTTATATGGAGCAATGAACTTTGTTGTTTTACAGAAAAATATTTAACTTAAAGGTACTTAATCTGGCAAGACTGTGAAAAGCATTATTTTCACTTAATATGCTATATTACTTTATAAATGTCTAGTTATGTCTATAAAAATTAGCTTATGTTGTGTGTTTAAAGAAACAGTGTCTATATAACAGTTGAAAAAAAAGTTATAAGTCCTGTAGTAAACAATTTCATATAGAAAAGAATAAAATTAAACATTTTATAAAAATGAGCAATTACCCCAAACATTAGACACTTACTACTATGAACAAACTTTTAGATTTCAATAAGTGGAAATGTGCAGGGGCAAATTTTAGTGGAGGTCCAGGAGTTAGACCCCTGGTCAGTCTTGTTCTTTTTTGTTTATATCACTATTTTGTTAGAAATTGCACTGATCATATCCTATATTATTTAATAACTCCTAACACAGCATATATATTATAAACATGTATAATTTTCAAAGTAAACAAATAATATTAAGTACACGAAAAGGGCAACTGTCCCCTCCCTTGTCCTTAACAGTAAAAATGCATGGTCTTGTACATTATTCTAGACTTACTAACACTGTAACTGCAAAACTGCTAAGTGCCTATGTCTGTGGTATTGTCTCGTACTAGTTTAAGTTCGTTTGAGCATATTGTTTAAATGCCCATATAATTAAAATTAAATATCGAATTTACGATTTTCATATTAATTATTAATATTATCCATATTAATGACAGTTTTTTTCAATTTCATTATGTCAAACAGTGCATATAATCCATTTCCTGCATATTTTGGATTAAACACAAATTTAGTAAAATGCTCGTGCCATTGCTTAATCAAACCCCCACAAATAGCAGTTTAAAATAGTAACTTGTCGCTGTGCTGCCAAGTCCCATTCGACATCATCTTATTCTTACTCTTAGTAAATATCCTACACCACTGCTGACAATGTAAAATATAATATAATGGTAATAAATTCTAACTTACGACACGCTTAGCGAGTAGCAGTACACCAAGTATAGTTATTTAAACTTGTATATGTACTTGATATAATATATTTATTTATTTAGAATTCCTATGAAACATAACTACCCTAAACAGATGAAATGTAAACTGACCTTACCTTCTACAGTACTAAAACTAAAAGTTCTAATATTTCCATGGCATAGGGGTCGCTTCATACAAGTTATATACGAAGCATTGAATATGCAATACAAACTTTCAGATTCGTGGAGGAAATAATTAATCTTAAGTAACTCGTAAATTAATCAACAGATGGCTTCTTAGAATATTATTTTCAAGCTTCAAAGATCCGAGGGTTATCTGAAGTCGAAAGTATAGTAGGGACAATGTTGCGACGATGTTTAAAATAATAAGTAATTCTTAAACAGTTTTTACGCTACAAGTTATACTACGAGTTTTTGAAAATAAACCTTCAGATCAGAATCTCCTAACGACAAAAACCGATACGACGATCAAGACATCTAAATAATTTTCCGTTATGCAACATTACTGGTGTTATTTAATATACCTAATTTATTTTTATAAATGTTCGTATATAACGAGAACTAAAAAGAAGTGAAAATATTTCCATTCTTAGACAGATATACTTCCTTTATAATTTAAAACTTGATTTTGTGAGGTAGGGTTCGATATTTGCTATCCCTATACCCCAAAAGAAAATGTAACATTTCTTATGTATTTGATAACTTAATGCTATAAATTGATACTAACATATTTATTTTTATTTTATTTATGTATTTGATAACTTAATGCAATAAATTAATACTAACGTATATATTTTTATTTTTTTTATTACCTTTTTTGCATTTGAGAGTATAATTGTAGGCGACATACATATGAAACATACATGTATATTCGATAATTTTTTATCAGCAGAGTACTGCAGTTTCAAGCTTAGTCAGCTCTCATCAATCTAGCTAGATCACCGATGTAGAATGCTATCTAAATTAGTTTTATTTTATATGTGTATCGCGTTTGGATAGGTATATTTCATACAGTTATATTCTTTTATGTCTAACGAGAAAGTATAAGCTTTCTCATCATCTTTCGGAATGAAATGACGCAAATGTATGAGAACAAACAAAGTTCATAACAGCTGATACTCAAACTTGATACAGCTTGAAAGCTTATTTGGATAACATTTTAACTGGGAGGTATACGAGATGATATAACTTAAAACTGCACTGTTCAAATGATCAATAATATCTTAAATAAACAAATGCATTTCGAATTAAGTGGAATGAGATCACTTCCTGCAGTTGATAGTGATGAAAGTTTAAGTCATTCTCTCGGTTTTAATCCTTAGTTGTTGTTTTTAATCAATAAATCATGTTACTCAGAATCATTATATTAAAAAAATATATAACTCTTCTTACTTAAAACTTTTTAATTCTATTTCGAATAATACCTTCCAATTGAGTTTATAATTCGTTAAATAAATTAAAAACTTGTTTATCACGCATGTATTAAATTTGAAGGTTATAAGAAAAACAGAGCTGATATATTACATTTACCGTCAACTAAAAGTTAAAATTAACTAATCAAAGACACATCATGAAGAGAAATCACCAACAACCTATTGTATCTTTGAGCAACCTCAAAATACCCTGTACAGGAACAATATGTGAATATGGTATATTATTTTGATATTATGATCAGTGTTATTACACTTGTTGGTTTATTTGTGCATTTGAAAATTTAAAAAAAAACATTTTGTTTATGAAATGGTATATGTAATCTTCGTTAATTGGATAACGTATTTATAAATTATCTCTGTACTGATATTTTGCTCAGATTATTATTTTTTATTCGTTATAAACAAATACCTTAAATTCTCATTTTACTTATAGAAAATTAGCTTGTTACCACTAGAGGGACAAAGAACATCTTCTACTTGCTGATTGGTTGACTGTTTAAACGGTTGGACGTTTGTATTAAAAGTTAACGAAAGGCGGTGATGTCAAATTGAGGGAGATCAGTATAACGAAGACTTATTTAACGAAGAAGTTATATTTAATGATTTTCTTCCATTGCCCCACGTCTCAAACCATATGCATTTTCTAATTTTAAAAAGTAAATATATTTTTAAAATTCACATATAAGAATTATTTAATAGTTATTCTGAATCTTTAAATTGAATAAGTTGGAACTGAATTTTCGGTCAAATCATGTTTATTAATATAAATTAGTTTAATGTGAAAATAAAGTAGGCAGAAAAAAGTAATTTAATTTTTGAAAAAACTTACTTTGAATTATACTATTAGTAATTACTAACGAGTAACGTTAGTACTATAAAGTATAAAGTAATTACTTGTAGTACAATGAGTACTAGTAATAATAATATTACAAAGAATATTAAAATTTAAATTAATAACCTAGGCTAAGGATAAGCTGTTAGTTATGGAATTTTCTTTGGAGCAAAGAACTAGAACTTAGAAGTAGAAGAACCAACTGACTGTTCAACTATTACTAAAGTGTTATTGATTTGGAGAGTGCCTGAAGGGTGATCTGTTTGAGTGATACAAACTCAAATTTTATACAAGCTTAGGTTAGGAAGCTCAGGTATCTGTTCTTTGACCAAATTATATATTATTTAAGAGTTAAGAACTTACAATTGGGTAGCCTGAGAATCTGATGTGTGCTTTCAGTTTTAGCTTAAGTTTTATTTATAAACTTGCTAGATAGGTTTATAGACACAAAGGGTTGAATTAGTTTAATTTTAATGCTTTAGTTGATTTGTTCTGGTGGGTGAATAGATGAAATTGATTGCGTGAATGACATTTGTATTTTTGTGCAATTTTCATTTGAACCTAGGTTATCAAGATGGACCAAGCATTTCAAGTGTTACCGAAAGGGTTTGTGGTAATGGATCCACCACCCTTGAAGAAAGCATCACCAGTGAAGAGTCTTCGTCCAGCGAGGTCTACGTGGTTCACAATTAAACCTCCTACACCACCAACAGCACAGAAAGATAGTACAGAGGAAGATGAAATACCCGTGCTAACACTTGCTCACTTCGCTCCATCTCCAAGAATCTGTTTTGATGAAGTGAATGTTGGAGCAGAAAAAGTTCGCAGACTTGTATTAAAAAACCCTACTGAAAATTTACAAGAGGTTGTAACTGAGAAGTTTCCTACTTCCAAGGGTTTTTCCTTGGATTCAGAAGTCTTCTTTGTCGAAAGCGGGAAGGAAGTAGAAACTCGTATCACTTGGATACCACGAGAAAAAGGTAGTGTTCGAGAAGTTGTAATTTTTAAGACCAGTAGTGGACACAAAGTTCAAGCCATTTTTCTGGGAACGGCTGTTGTACCACAGCCGAAGAAGAAAGTAAGTTATTACTCTATATTCAATTTTCACTTGTCTGAAGTGTTTCAAAAGTTTATTCCTGTTTGAAATTTTTAGAGTAAGTCGGGATGAGGCAACATAATAATGGTATCTTGCAAACAGGATGTTTTAGCAAATTTTTAATGTTTGACCATCTTTTATTTTCTTTTTTCAAAAATATTGTACATCATTAAGTGTACAAGTAGTTAGTAAGAGATATGTTAAATGCAATATTTCATCCGGTTCATCCAACACAGAACTTCTCATCAAAGAAAGCTTGTCGATTTAAAACGAACGCCCCACTCTAAACAATGACACAACTTCTTTACAGCTAAGCCTATTATAAATATCCCTAGCACATTGTCAACTATACAATGTTATCTCTATACCTCCCCTTCTTTACTACACTAGTTTCGTAATATAATTACAATTTTGTTATTTCCTGTTTAAATCCTGCTGGTGGTTGTTGTTGTTTTAGATTGTTTGTTTTTTCTTTCTCATTATGCTACTATAACTGTTCCAACTGAATGAATATGTGTATTTAATACTATCGATTAATTAATACACTCGCTGAAGATGGAATGTGAATATTCCAAAACGTCCGAAGAATAAATGTACATTACCGAAAACAAAGTGTTGAATGTTTGCTTTTACCGTCATTCTCTTGATTATTAGCAATATTTTTTTTTATAATTAAAATGAAAAGAATTAAAAGTAAACTTGTGACACTGATAAATAAGGTTGAAAACTTATGACATCCAACACTTTGGGATCAGCATGACCATGTGTTAGAATGAGCAAAAAAAATATGACATGCTAAGACCATGTGGCCGAGTTGTTTCCAGATGTAACATCCAAAATTAAAATTAGTTACAATAATCATTGTTTAACAGGGGTAATCTGGTTTGTAAGTGTACAAAAACACACTTGGGGGATGAAATCTGTCTTTGTGTATGTAGTGTACTGAAGAAAATGCTTAAAACTGGTTTGATGTAGTCCAAGAAAAGGTTTTGTGAATGATCTTGCATGTTATAATAAATATAAATCTCGTCAGTTTAACATCTTAAATGAGTCTTAATCCAACTAACTTACATAGTGAATAGTAATGGACGCACACACCAGCATTTGTTGAATAATATCATTGTTAATCTAACAAGTTATTCCTGTTCACTGTAGAGGTTTAAAACTAATGATTTTAAATTCTATGTTGAAAACTAAGTATTTAATGTTTTAGTAAATTATCTTTGTGAATAAATAA